ATGAAGTGGGCGGGCATCGGGAGGCCACTATGGCACGGGGCAAGCACTATGGGCAGTCTATCTGAAGTGTACCTGGCGTATAAGACGACCCCCCACTTGGAGGCATATTTTTCAGGGCCAAAAAATCGTCTTATACGCCGGCAAATACGGTAGGTTAGCTTGCTGGTGGGGTCCGGTCGATCGGGACTGAGCGAGACGGGCCAGACCCACCCTGGAGCCCTCCCGCGGTTCCTCTCTGGCCCCGATCATGCACAGGTGGCCTCTTGGGGGATGTCTGAGAGCCGGTTTTGGCCCAATCCCTCAGGTCAGACCGAGGGACCCCACTGGTGCATGAATTTGTGCACCAGGCCTCTGGTCTATGTATATAAAAGCCTAAGCAACTGGATGACCGGACAACCAGCCCATAGCTATGATGTGCACTGACTACCAGGGGTACAGATACTCAACGCAGGAGCTGCCTCCTGGTGGTCAGTGCACCCCATAGTGGGAGCACCGCTTAGCTGACCAATGGGCACCAGACACCAGGCTCACATATGGCGAACATAGCTGCAGCAGCGCGAACCCCTCCCGCCTCTGCAGCAGTGCCACCGAGCGACAGCAGGCTCAGCAGGGCCAGGATGAGTGGGAGCAGCACCCCAGCCGCCTGCTGCTTTGCACACCTTTACGTCCCTCAGGGCCGAAACCAGTAGTCCAACATCCCCCAAGGGGTCCCGGATTGTGAGAGGACGCAGGCCAGGCCTCAAGTTAATTGATAATGCCTCTAGGCAAGTTACTAGAATCCTGTGCCTTCTTTTCTCTGGCCCTATGATAAAAATAAGATACGTCATGCCATCATTCTCTTCACAGACTAGAACTTTTTTTTTAATCCTCGCCTGAGGATATTTTTTTCATTGATTTTTAGAGAGAGGGAAAGACAGAACTATCAGTGTGAGAGACACATTGATTGGTTACCTATTGCATGAACCTTGACCAGGGCCTGGGCCCAGAAAGAGCCTGCAACTGAGGTATATGACCTTGACTGGAATCAAACCCAGGACCCTTCAGTCCACAAGAAAGGCCAGCACTTTCAAATCATCACCAAAATAATAGTTCTTGACCAGGGGCTTTTTTGTTTGTTTTCCATCGAGAGCAGCCTGAAGTTTAGGTATCCTAACCAGGAATCAAACCTGCAACCTTTTGGTGTACAGGACGATGCTCCAGCCGAGCCACCTGGCCAGGGCTTATAGTGTACCTTTTATTTAAATTGTAGTCATTTTTAAAATGGGTGGCAAAAACTAGTTTTTTATGTAAAAATTTATTCAGTTATATTGAAAACTATAAAATAGATTTGGGAATGCCAATACTGACCCAGACTTCCAATGTTGCCTCTTCTTTCTTAGATTCTAAATAAACCCAATGTGAAATCAAACTTCTAGTACTCATCCATTATTTATTACTTTTTCTCCCTGAGTTACTATTTTAAAGCCATCCTAAATATCATACATACATTCTCTGTAGTAATCACTAAAAATACAGTGTAGATAAATTTTATATTGCAAGTGAGAATGTAAAATATTCTAGTTGATCGGAGTTTATGGTCTTAAGTTGGTTGTTCAGAACTTTACTTTTCATACAGTTCCCTTCTCATTCCACCTTCTTAATTCCCTACAAGTGAGTCTTTTCTCTAGAAATAGACTTGTCACCAGAGAATTTGCAGTCATGATACAGTGGATTTAAAATAGATGTGTGTGTGTATTTATATTTATATGTAAATGCGCACATGCGCACACAAAAGGGGTAGGCAAAAATAGGTTTACAGTTTAGAGTATCTGAAACAGTTTATCCTTGTATTATTTTATTTTTCCATTAGAGGCCTGGTGCACAAAAATTTGTGCACTCGGGGGCGGGGGGAAGTCCTTCAGCCCGGCCTGTGCCCTCTCGCAGTATAGGACCCCTCGGGGGATGTTCACCTGCTAGCTTAGGCCAGCTCCCCGGGGGGGATCGGGCCTAAGCTGGCAGTCAGACATCCTTCTGGCAGCCCGGCAGCCCTCAGGGGATGTCCACTTGCCAGCGGGGAGCAGGCCTAAGCTGCAGTCGGACATCCTTAGCGCTGCTGAGGAGGCAGGAGAGACTCCCGCCACCACCACTGTACTGGCAACCGCCAGCCTGGCTTGTGGCTGAGCAGAGCTGCCCCTGTGGGAGCTCACTGACCACCAGAAGGCAGCTCCTGCATTGAGCGTCTGCCCCCTGGTGGTCAGTGTGTGTCATAGTGACCAGTATCCCAGTCGTTCTGCTGTTAGGGTCAATTTGCACATTACCCTTTTATTATACAGGATAGAGGCCTGGTGCAGGGGTGGGGGTCGGCTGGTATGCCCTGAAGGGGGTCTCAGATCAGGGTGGGGGTCCCCGTGGGGTGCCTGGCCAGCCTGGGTGAAGGGCTGAGGGCTCTTTGCAGGCAGGCCAACCCCCCCAGCGGGGACCCTCACCCCATGGGAGTGTGGCCAGCCTGGGTGAGGGACGGATGGCTGTTTGCAGGCTGGCCAAGCCCCCCAGCGACCCAAGCTCCCAGCCTCTCCTTTTTTTCTTTCTTTCTTTTTTTTTTCCAGGGATTTATTTATCTTCTATAATTGAAACTTTATAGCCTTGAGCAGAGCCGAGGGCTGGCCAGGGCATGTGGGAAGCTTGGCTTCCTCCATTGCCGGGGACAACCCAAGCCTCCTGCTGGCTCCAGCTCCGTTGCCGCCGCCCTCTTAGTTGGGTTAATTTGCATACTCGCTCTTGATTGGCTTGTGGGCGTGGCTTGAGCATAGTAGAGGGGTGGTTAATTTGCATGTTTCTCTTTTATTATATAGGCTATGAACAACTGTAAACCTACTTTTGCCTATGTATATAAATATTTCCTACATGTGAAATTGCCTCTTTCATAGGTCAGAAATGATTAAATATGACTTATTCTATTATTTTGTCAGTTTTATTTACATTAACTAATTCATCTGAAACTTACTAGCATATGATGAGGTAGAGAGCTCCTGATTTTTTAAAAAATTGTTAACTAATTATTTCAATACCATTTTTTCATTACTGATTTAAAATACCTCCTTTATCATACACTATGGTATAGTGTAGGATCAGTGTCTGAATTTCAAGTTCTGTTCCATTGTTCCATTTGGTTTGGCTCAGCACCATATGTTTATAACCTTGTAGCTTTACAAAATATTTAAGTTATTAATCTAAGACTGTTCTGGCAACTCTTATGTTGTTTTCCTTGAGTATAAATTTATTAATTTAAGGACAGTGGACATAATTGCCCAGGATTTTTTAGTTTGCCTTTTAGGTCCCCTAGTGAAGCTTTATAATTTTCTTCAGAATTTTATTCCTTCTTAAGTATTTCCCTAGGTATCTAATATTTTTGTTACTATTCTACTTAGACTCTTCCTTAAAACTTCTTAGCCTATATATATGAAAGCTTTTGGTTTTTTAAAGCATCTTTAAAATCTGGCTATGTTCTTAGATTCCTTATTTTGGATGATTTTTCACTTGACTCTTGAGTTTTTTAAATAACCATAATAATATGCAAAGAACTTTTTTATTTTTAGTAATTGTGGCTGTTTTATTATATTTTGTTGCTTATAGTGCTTAATAATAACAGTATTCTGACCATCCATTAAAAAGCAATAATACAATAGAGTGTAACATAATTAATGCAATAAATCTTGTAAAAATATTATTACAATATTTCAGAGTCAAATAAAATTGCTTCCATAGAGGATCAGCAATTTAAAACTAACTACTCTTGTTCTGGTTTTTTAGTTCAGTATGTACTGGCCAGTATATAGCCACTAACATTAAACCATTGAGGACTTGAAATGTGACAAGTTCACATTGAGATGTGCTTTAATTATAAAATTAATAACTGATTTCAAGGTCTTAGCACAACTGAAAAGAATTATTTCATTAATAATTTTAAAAATATTACATATTGAAAAAAATAATATGGATTTATTCAGTAAGATTAAATTACATTAAATTAATTTCACCTACTTTTACTTTTTAAATGTGGCTATTAGAAAATATTAAACGACAGTATGTGGGTCATATATACTTATTGTACAGAGGTAATCACAAGTTGACTTACAGTTACTTTTCATATTTGTTTCTATTATGTTCCCTCAAGCTTTAAAAAGTAGGCACCAGATAATATTTCAGTGCCTACATAGTTGTCCAAGATTTCACAGTGTTTCAAAGGAAAAGTTGAGAATTAGGCCAGAGAAAATACAATGAATAATTTCTTGATAATTTTTAAGCATTGTAAGCTGCGTACTTCCAAACATAAATTATTAAATGTTCAATTTAGTAGGTCAATATGAATCTTCTGTGGTAACTTACCAGACTGTCTTTCTCCTTGGGTCCTTGCAAAGACATTAGATAGGATCCCAATTTTGTTGGCGTCACCAGAAACATTCTCCAGATACCAGTTCTGATCCCCAAGTGACCTGTGATTGTTTAATTCTATGACCAGGTTTTTTTTCCCCAGTTTTCTATATTTTTATGTGTTTTCATTCTTGTTTGTTGTATTTTTATTTTGTTTTGTTTTAAACTTCTTCTCATACCAACTGTATTAGGAATGTATGAGAATTACGTAAGTGTGAATGAAGGTTTAAACTCTTACTGAGGACCACCTGAATGTGATTGTTCTATCAATAATAGCTGACATTTATTGAGCATATTTTATAGGCAAAGCATAGTCCTAAGCATTTTATGCATATTATCTCCTTTAACCATCTTTTGCAGATGGGGAAATTGATGCTTATAAAGATTTAATAACTTGCCAATGTCATACACCAGTAGGCAAAATTTGGATTCAAACCTAGGTTTGACTCAAAACTTCCTCTCCTACTATTTGGGTTAATGTGTAGATGAAGTATTAGATTGCAGAAACATAATAGGCAAGGCTTTCAAAAAAAAAAATAGGCAAGGCTTTCTAGTTACTGAATGTTCTGAAGGCACCTTTCTGGAGCTCAGCCAAACGAAAATTGATAGTGAGAAAATTATGAAGAGAAGGCAAAACTTGAAGAAACAGAGCTTTATCCTTTGTATTGAAAAAAGTCTCAAGATTTTTTTTCTGCTGAAACACTATAGAGTAAGAGAATATTATTTCAATTTGAAATGCTTTAGCAATTTCATATTTGGTTTTAAATCATTAGGAACTTTAAAAAATCCTTTCTTCCAGGTCTAATAAATTAGGTGCCTTTTTAAACCTTGCCAGCTTTAATTATTGGATTCTGTTAAAATTAGTGTTTCCTTTATCACTTTGTGCGTACTGGATTTTAATAATGTGCTACTTACTTAATAATGTCTGTTTCCTTTACTTTTTTAGGGTCCTGGTTGCTGTTCTGATCTTGCAGTTTCTTTTCACTATGTTGATCCTACAACCATGTATGAGTTAGAATACCTCGTTTATCATCTTCGTCCATATGGATATTTATACAGATATCAACCTGCCTTACCTGAAAATACACGGAAGGAAATAAGTCAAGCATACAAAAATGAAGATCCAAAGTAAAATTTGGGAAACCTTGAAAGAAAAGCATAAATGAACAGAGGTAAAATGTCTAACATTGCACTGAAGAAGAACTTCTGCATTTCTGATGTAGAACACTGGAAGCCCAGTGAAGAATTCTAAACGAACATTCCGTATTAGAAATCTTTCATATGAATGCCTATAAACTGAAGCTTTAATAAGCTGTGAAGTCTGTTAAAATGTGTTTTGATACAGTAATATATATATTACTTGTGTTTTCATAATGTTGGTAAGGCAGAGGGGCTAAAAAGATTTTGTTGCCTGTTTCTGACCACATGTATTATTTTCACTGGGAAGTTAAAACAGTTGCTAAAACTACACTGTACCATATTTAATAACACACACATGATGCTAAACAGATCTGCCTTAAAATTTTAGAAGGAAGTATTGTTGTTCAGTGTTGTTTATAAACTCAAGACATGAGTTTATATTCACAGTATGGTATAAATGAACCCCTCCTCTCCCAATACATACCCGTGTGTAGTTTTGGCTAATCTAAATTTTGCTGTGACTGTTTAAAATTGGCAGTATTTCAGAAGAAGAAGGTAGAATAAGAATGGCACTCATCCTAATGCGCATTAATAAAACCACATTTTGAAATGATCATGGACCTTGATTATAATATATATATATACTTGGTTCTAATTAATAGTTAACCATATAGATATACCTCGTTTTATTGCTTTATGTACTTCACAGATGTTGCGCCTTTTACAAGGCAAGAAAAAATTTTCTCTCCTCAAGAAAAAAAAAAAAAGATAACGACTCGCTTTATTGCGACACTTGCTTTATCGTGGTGGTCTGGAACTGAAACCGCAATATATCTAAGGTACTATGCTGAGTCGCCATTGTCTCTTCTAAATATGTTTAACCATTCTTGGATACCATTTTCAACTATTAATATTTACTCAGAGCTTTAAAGCATTTGATTAAATATTTTGTTCCCATATTTACCCATTGTTAATTATGGGTAACTAATAAATAGTAACTTTAATGCTGCTTGGGGAATGTTTTTTGATATCACTGCCACTCAGGAATTACTAAGCTACACTTTTAAGTGATCATTTAAAACTCTTTCCAACTACATAATTATAGTTTTTTTAATTCTTATCCTGTTGAGAGATAACTTGTTTTGTGCCTTTCATAACTTCTTTAAAGCAGTTTTAAAATTCATTTTTAGGATCTAAGGTGGTTATTAATTACACTGGCAAAATAATTTGAATGCGAGATTTTGACCAGAGTTAATTAAAAACATTAGAAAATGCACAATGCTTAAACAAGCTGAAATATGTCAGGTATTAAAAGACAAAATGCTTATTTTATGACTAATATCTAAATTTGATGCTGATTTATGTACAGGGTGGGGCAAAAGTAGGTATACAGGTGTTCATATAGAAAATAATACAATAATTAATAAATAATACAAGAATAAATGCTATTTTGTCCCATCCTCTATTTGGGGATGATTGTATTGCCAATAGATAGATAATTCCAGTTGAGCAGAATACCCATTCAAGACTGTCATCAAAAACACATTCATGAATATTTTGTTCTTATTTTAGTGACCCTCTATTTAAAGAGTTTCTGGAAGGGAAAAAAAAAATGGTTTTTTGTTATCTTTAGCATATTACCTGAGTGTATCATAACAATATTTTACAGACTTTCTGTAAGATTATCATAAATGGTACAACTGATTTATATTTCTCTTATGTTTATCATGCTAATTTCACATGGCTGTCACACCATTGACTCTTATGTTTAGCTAAATAGTTTATATTTATTGTGCCAAAACATGTCAAAACTATGACCTCTTTAGATGGTATAGTTGAGAGAATGTTCATCTTAGTGGCCAATTATGGATACTATGTCTATGTAGTGAAAACTCACACCAATTTTTACCTATTAAATTGTTTTTTATTGTTTTCATGATGGTCATCTGCTAAAATTTTAAGGCATTCACTCTGTTCTTGAACAGCTCTTTGCTTTGGTGTGGATATGAATTTATCTGAGTCCATATTTGCTACTTTTCTGTACTAGAAGTATAAATAGTTTATTATAAACATCCAAAAACCTTAAAATTTACTCAAAGGAAATGAACATTGTGATAAATCCTGGGGTCCTGAGTTAGACTACCTGGGTTTAAATTCTCGCTTCATCACTTACTAGTTTTGTAACCTTGAGCAATTTCCTTAATCTCTCTGTGCCTCAATTTCCTCATCTGTAAATTAGGGACAGTAACACTACCTACCTCACAGGAATTTTATGAGGATTAAATGAGTGAATATATGTATGGCTTTTAGAATACTGTCTGGCCCAGAGTATGAAGCAATAAATATAAGGTTTTAGTCTGTTAACTTGGAGTGTAAATATTTGTTTCAAATGAATGAAAAATTGCTTTAATCAAATCAGATATTGAAGGAAATATTTTATTCATTTCTTATAAGTAATAGCTAGTTTTTATCTGATGCATATTATTTGCCAATTACTGTGCTTAGATACTCTTTGTACATTAGTGTTAATCCTCACAAATTGGATGCTATTCCCATATTATGGATGTGAAAACTGAGGCTCAGAGTTAAAGTACATTTTCCACTGTCACAAAGCTAATAAGTAATAGCTGGGATTTCTACTCAAAGCCTATGTGTTCTTTGTACCGTATCAGCCCAGAGGTTAGTCATTTAGCATTTTTTCCATTTTTACTTACTGACATGTGATAGATACATTGGCCAATAATAGTAAAATTAACCAACTTGTCATGATGCTTCTCAGATTGTGGTTTTTATACTCTTACCCGGGAACTTGTTAAAACACCAGTTTCAAGACCCCAAGCCCAGAAATTCTGAATCTAGCATGGGACCCAGGACTATTTTTCATTCTTACTAGATACCCTTAGACTGTGGTTCTCAAAGTGTGGTCTAAATCTACAATGTATCAGTATCGTTTGGGAAATTGTTGGAAATGCCATCTCCTGGGCCTTGCTCATACCTACTGGAGGCTAGAGTCATGTTTAAACAAGCCCTCCGGGTGAGGCTTATTCATCCTAGTTTGAGAACCTAATAAGCTCTGTGTGATTCTGATGCAGGTGATCCTTGGGACATACTAAGGATTGACTGCTGTGTAAGTAAAGTATCTTTCAAAGATTTAGATAAGGCATTTTTAAAGTAAGTGTAGTCCATTTTTAAAGTAAATGTAAGACTTTAAAGCTGATTTAAAGGGTCAGTGGATCATTTATTTTGGCAAAATTCTTTAGCTTCTTCAGAGTGACTAACATCAGGACCCACACCGTAAAATCTATAGTTCTTTGAGTTTAGGAATTTCACATTAGTGCAGGAAGGATTCATTAAGTAGTACTAATTCATTAAAAACATCCTAAATGAGTGTCATCCCAAATGCCCACTGTTGTTAATAAAAATGTTTAAATAGAGATAGCAAAATACTCTTTTACAATATGCATAATGGGTTGGGGGTTTTTTTGCTAATTTTGACACTATCAAAATTTCATTACTTTTAAAATCAGTTGACTGTCCTACATGACCTTAAAAAGCAAAAAATTCAAGTATTTGATAAAGTACATAAAAACAGATTTCAGATAATACAGATAATACTGACTTATATTTTAAATTAAGATCTCTGTCATTTGGATAAATGATTTTAATGTGGCCTCTCCATTACAGTATGCTTGTATTTTCAATTGGGAAGTTCATAGATGATGCAAAGCAGATTGTTGTCCCAGAGTTAAATTAATTGTTTTTAGATGCTTTAAATTTCAGAGGAGCATTTGCTACTATAAGAAGATTAGAAAATAAATCACTGACCAGTTTTGAATATTTTTTGGAATATGGTTATTGGATTTGGGCATTTAATTTGCTAACTGATTATTTTCATAATTGTTTTTGAGTGTTAATTTTTCACTTCCTTGAGCCTGTCAAACAGCAGTGTCCCCAAAAAATGTATACACACTTTTTTGGAATTAGTAATTATTACATTTTTGGGGGGACATCCTATATATTACCAGCTTGAAGATTGAAAATCCCTCACTTGATTGATTCGATAAAATCTGTCCTTTTATTCTCCATTTAAATTTTCAGTTTAGAGTATTATGTCTTTGACAGTTTCTGCTTCTTTGTATTGATTGCCCTTTCTTTATTTTCTAAAACTATTCTCCATTTTCTAACTTCTCTTCCTCCCACCCTGCCAACTACTCTTAATATTGCCTTTACAAGGTTAATTAGCTGTTATTAGTGATTAGAATTTGCATTGCTTATTGATAATTTCATACCTATTAACTTTAAGTTTCCCTATGAGTTTAGAAGTAAAAATCTGTCTAAGAATAATGTCTGCTGGCTCTCCGAATATTGCCCTACTTAAAAGTCTACAATTTTAAACTAATTCTAGATATATAATTATTAAATGAAGTAAAGTTATTTATATTCCACCTCCCCCCTTTCACAAAACAAACCAAAAAACTCATTTGCCTGATTTCTCTACTTTATAGTAGGCCTGACAGAAACATACTTAATAAATCTGGGGGATAACCTGTGGTTTAATTTATGCTAAAATGTAACTTTTCTTTAAAATTACTTATGTTTATATAATTACTTATGTTGAAATAGAAATTTTAATACAGATTAGACTAAGAAATTTTACCGATTCTCTATAGAGAAACCAATCTAAAACTAGTGTTCTGTTTCAACTTCTTTACCTCTCTAGTTTTCAGTTTATATCAGTACAGTTTAAATAACTTTGCAGGGCCCTGCAAATTAATAATTCATATAAGGTATGTTATTAGAGGGAAACTAATCTTACTGCTAAGCAGTGTGCTATATTACACAGTGAATGTTTGTGTTTTGGAATTTAAAAACTATGTAAGGTAATAGTGTCATGAATGGTTTAACAATGTCTGGTGACTTGCTTATTTTAAGTGATCACCGATAAGTCAGAGAAATGTATTTTTAAATATGTTTTTTAAAGTGCCTTTTGAACATTTTTAAATAATGGATTTAAACAATTGAGTAAAATAAATTACCATGTTTAAAGCTGTTTCATCTGGTTATTTTTAACTCATGTAAAAGTTGCAGGAGAAACTCGTCCTCTGGGTAATTTGGGAGTTATTTTATAGAAAATATTAATTTAAATTGTGATAGGGACCCTGGGATGCGAAGGCCAACTCTCTGGTCACTGGCCAGGGCTGAGCGAGACATTTTATATATGGCAAAAGGCATATGAAGTTCTTTGCTCCTACTATGTAAAAACATCTTTCCACCTTTGCTTATTCTACGTATGTGAAGGCTTCCTGAAATGTAATCTATAGTCCAAAAACGTGTTTTGAGGCACATTTCCTCCAGAGCTCAGGTCTATTGATTTAAATCAGTCTGGGATTTTAAAATAGGAATAAAAATTGACGTGCCTCTTCCTAAGCAAATGATTACAAATGTTCATGAGGCCCTTGAGTCTAGCCTATCTGCTTCCATTTTCAGTAACCTGCTACCCTATATGTTCGTTATTAGTGCATATGTGTACATTTGGATTAAACAGCTTTAGAAAAGCTAAGGAGTTTCCCAGTTAGTTATATTTAGTTGTGTCACTAATTGATAAGTCATTAGAGAAGGGGTTTATTTATCTAAACATGCCGATTTACCTACCACCTATTTCAAGTTTTCCTAAGGTATAGTCCAGTGATACGAGACTAATTACTGAATTTATCTTCTTGCTAAACATATTTTCTATCTCAAACATATTTTACATCAGATTTAATAACACTGACAATATAGATTATCCAAATAGAAATTGCTTTAGTGTTTAAGACTGAATGAACATTTAACCACTACCGTTAAGTTCAGCGACATTGACACTCTCCAAATAAATCTGTCACTATTAGTAGCACATGGAAGTAAACTTCGTTTTGCTGTGAGTTTGACTTGTTACTAATAAATGAATTTAGTATTGCTGCCTAGAATTTTACTATAATTTATGAAAAGCTGACATAAGTGGAACCATTTTAAAATAGAGCTAGGGTAGCCATTCCAGAGGAACTGCTTTGTATGTCTTACTACCCAACATCTGGAATGTTTGAGCTGGGAAAAACAACCATTGGACTGGGCCAAACCAGCATTGTATTTCAAACAACTGTTTGCAAAGTTAACAGGAAAGCAGACATCCTGATTACCCACTAAAAATTACAGACATATTTTAGAATTAGCACCACCATGTATATGTATCGAATAACTTTTGCACCTACAGAAATTCCTTCCTTCTACTCATGTAGTTATTTCCCTTTCCTTTCTCAAAAAAACAAAACAAAAAACACGCTTGCCTTCACCCCTCATCAGCACACCACTTGTTCGGGCTTCTGCCTGTATCAGTGCTTCTTCCCAAACAGGTATTCTTTTTTATCTCAAATTAACACTTGTTGCCTCTCGCTTTGACCTTTTATTTTTAATGAACAGAGTCTTAAAATTATCTTTGTGTTGAATCATTTCTTCTGCCAAAAGAACCACCAATTGTTTGTGCTGGTGTTACTCGTATTCTGTTATTGATGCTTGTTTTTATAGAACTGAAAATTTGTCCAGGTTCTTTATACCCTCTGATATATTACCTCTGGATAGTGCAGTTGAATACAGCTGCTTACTTTGCAATAATGAAATACTCATTGTATCTTTTTAGGCAATTCCTTAGGATGTAAGCTATTTGGGTTCTTCATTGAATGTCTAATGGAAGATTAACAGTACTTCCAAGTTCTGACTTTTGTTAGCTTCAAATCTTTCTTCATAGAACTTACTCTAAACTGCATTGTCTTTCCTCCTTCTATACCTGTAACACTACAAACATACTCCTGGTAGCATTTAAGTTAAATTCACTTTCCATTAATTTTGCTGTTGTTAGATTGTAGAGGAATGGTGATAATATCCAGAAAGTAGTTTAAAAGAGAAGCAATGATTCAACTTTTTGTTTAGTTCTATACGAGGCTGTCTTTCTGTATTTGTACTATTCACTGGTGTATGTGTGTCAGAAATAGATAGGAGTAGAAAGCTATGGTTATTTTAATCATTGGATTTATCTTTAATTAAAACGATTGCTTTTTAATACTAATTAGGTTTATATAATAAGTAATTGTATTTGATGAGGTGACAGTAACTATGTGCTTAGAGTAATTTGGCATAGATTGTTTATAAAAAAATAATTTTTACAAATCTACTTGCCTGGTTGAATTTCCCCTCACTTTTTGCCTTTGAGTTTCTAGCTCTTTCTGAATTCCCTATTCTTGTATTCTTTCATCCCATGTATTTTCTTTTTTCCTTTCTTTTCTTCTCATTGGCAGTAATTCTTATTTAAGATTTTTTATTGCCCCACTTTCCATTAGATGTTTCGAAGACTTTAAAGAATTACTTATCACTGAGACCGGTTTGGCTCAGTGGATAGAGCGTCGGCCTGCGGACAGAAAGGTCCCAGGTTCGATTCCGGTCAAGGGCATGTACCTTGGTTGTGGGCACATCCCCAGTTGGAGATGTGCAGGAGGCAGCTGATCGATGTTTCTCTCTCATCGATGTTTCTAACTCTCTATCTCTCTCCATTCCTCTCTGTAAAAAATCAATAAAATATATTTTTAAAAAAAAAGAATTACTTATCTTTTAAGAATTTTAATTCCCTCTCATCAGCTGAACAAACTTTCTTGGAATTAACTGAAAGGAGAAGGAAGAGACAGGACTTCAAGAATGCACGCCAGTATAATCCTAGAATATCCACTTCCTTTGGAAATGTTTCTTTCTAAAACCTACCCAACGAAAATATGGGTACATTTTTAAATACTTGAAAAGCAGATGTCATCTTGTTTGGCAAAAGTGGTGAGTGAGGTTTTTTTTTTTTCTTTTTTTTTTTCTTTTTTTTTAGTGTGAGTGAGGTTTTGAATGGCACTCCTTGTGGCTGAGGATAACTCTTAGGAACAGAATCACAAATATTTCTCTACTTTGTGAAAAGTGAGGCAGAGGATTCTCCTGTGCTTTGCTGTTGCCTCCTGGTACATAATTGTGCACTGGGTACTGCCATCTTCTGCTGTGGCGTGTATGTGGCTTTGGAGGAAGGACTTCTCTAATTACCACAGCACAACTGAGGCCAGACGTCAGGAGTGTTCCAGAATAACAGAAGGAAAGTTCCATAGAATAATTAATGAGAGCTGCCCAGACACAGTGGGATTCTCTTGCCTCTCACCAAGCTGTTTTTTCTTTAGCATCTGTTTCCAAGGCACCAGAAGTAGCTGACCTACCCCCCGCCCCCCTGACTAGAAGCATTCTGGGTACCACCACATGTTTAGAGTCTGAGCTAAATTGACATCTGCCCTAAGAAAAATGAAGATCTCCCTTCACCCAGTCTGAAGCTGTTACTCCTCACTTCCTTCTGGAAAACTGACCCTTCCCCTGGGAAACTGACAGTGGAAATATGTACTCTCTTCAGAGAAGTGTGGTCTGGATTTGTGGCCCCAATAAGAAAATCACCCAAAAAGTCTGACATCAGTATATTTCAGGAAGTCTGAATTGTTTGTGCTTAAGTAAAATCACACACGGAGCAGCACCAGCCCAAAGCAGGTGAGGCTGCACCAGACTCACTGCTGTGCCTGTTCCATCTCACTGCATTAGGGTTTCAGACATCGCAGAGGCGCCAGCTTCAGCCATGGTCACCTCGCTACAACACTAGTCAGCTTTGAAACTTAACAGAAGGATACTTTATGATATCATTTTTTATTGTGTTCTTTTTTAAAAATTATCTACTTTCAAATCAGTCGCCACCCTCTTTAAAATAACATTTTGAAAGTGCGAGCAGAAAACAGAGTTTGGAAATAAGTGAATGACCTCTATTTTCTTAGTTATCCTAAATTAGAATTGTAACCAGCTCTTTCTGAGATCCTTAAGTAATCATGATAATTGGTATTATTTTCCATTTAAAAGTCTCCTAACCTTTACCAGGTTAGACCTTCATTTCATGTTTTATTGTCCTTAGACCCTCTTAGACTACTAAATCCTCACATTTACCAAATGGAAAACTATTCAGCGGTCTAGTGACTCAGTGAGGATAAGTGAAGCAGAACTGAGTGGTGAAATTTAACCTGAATCTGAAGTTTCAAAACATGGCCATATCCAGTATTCTTTATCATACACTGTTGACTTAGAGGGTGGACAGGGATGAAAAACAGCTGTGTGCTCAAATTTTAATTTAAGATCACAAATGACCTCATTTGGGTCAATTGACCTCATAATGTAAATTAGTGCCTTAATATAAAATTTTTGCTACATATTAAGCAATAGAAATTTATTTGGCCTCTTACTAATTCAGTAGTCTTTACCAATCCTAAACTTAACAGAATATTTTCTAAATTTGCTCTTTGATAACTCTAGATCACTGCATAGAATTATTTGAAACTTGCTTGTCAGGATGTCTTAAAGAATTTTCCTTTTTTCTCTTTACATCTAATTATACATAATTAGATGAGTAATTACTCAAACTTTCTGTTGTTACTGAAACTGAAATAAGTAGAGCAAGAGAAATGGATGCTGTAAAGATGTGAAGCAGTGACTTTACCCAAAAGCACAGTTAATAATATCAGTGGGATTAATTATTCTTTTAAATTACATTAAAGAACAGCTCTGTGCTGTCCTTGTAGGTTGGTTTCCTTTGAACTGGCACCATTATTCTCCAGAATCCACCTTATGTGACAGGATGGCAGTGGTATCCTCTCTAAAGTACTGTACTTCTCACACCTAAGATTTCAAAATTAACCTCACCCTCTGTCATATCATGTTAAAATTTGGAGTTGTCACGGTTATTTCCTCTTTCACCTCTCCTACAGTTATTCCTCCCAAGGTTCAACCCAGGCTATTCTATATACACAAGGTCAGCAAATATTTATTTTGTTAGCTTTTATATAAATCAACATCACACCCAGGAGGCTGGGGTGTGGTAACATAGACATCAAATCTCCTAATACCCTGATTCTAAACCAGTCAGTCTACACCCTCTTTCATATGAGAAAGAATTGCAGAAAGTCTGAC